TTGCTCTCTGCAGTGATGCCAAGGCCTGGAGCTTCATCAAAGGAGCTTTTTGTTTTTTTGGTCTACTGACCTACACAAAATACCCACAAGATATTCAGTTCAAAGAAACCGCTAAATGCTTATCAACATAAAAGCTATCTTTGAGAGTAGGGGTGGAAATAGCTAAAAAGACTCCTGAGACAGATGATTTAGATATCAAGGCTCCCTTGTGTAGGGAAGGTGTTGCTAAGAGTGTGTGCTTATGTGATAAGAACAATGACCAATGCACTTACATGAACTCAAAGAGTCATATACACCTGACAGATATGTTGTTCACTGTCTTCTGGGGATGCTCTGCTTCATTGTGCATGGGTGTTCTTTGCTCTGTGAGTGTGTTACTATTTGTGTGGGTGTGTACATTTGGGAGCAGACTGTGGAAGAAAAATCAGGTGGGATTGAAGAAGTTTTAGGGACATACACCTGGAGCACATCTTGGTTTGAGAGTGTTTATTTTGAACCCAACTCTAAGTCAAAAAACTTTAAGGCAGTCAAAAGGTCAGAACATGGAGAGAAAATGAAGCGAATATGGGGCACTAATAGCAGAAAGTCTGACGTGTCCCATGTCTTTAATGGCTGACTGATCAATGAGCTGCTGTAATTAATAGCAGGGAGCAGGGATGAAATATTGATTAGGTACTTACATACAGGCCCTAGCCACACGGAGACGGTAACGAAAACGAACCGAATTCAATATCAAAAAAGTATTCCGTCCACACGCAATCGGCACCAGAAACGTGTCCGTCCACATGAGACCGCTCGACCCGCTGGAGACGCTGTAGTACATATGCCGGGCCTGTAAGTGGCGCTGTACTTCCGCCACAAAATACACCAAAAGCAGTGAAGAAGACTTCACGAGCATGCATGGTTGCCATGGTTGCCCTTCTGTTTATTCTCTGCGGTGGATTTAGCAGCAGAGGTGGGGAGAGGCAGGGGCCAGGGCTCTGGCTCTTTTTCTCCCTCCCCGAGGCAAGCATGTGCTCCTGCTGTATATCTCTCCGGTAGTCCACCAGCAGATGAAAAACACCCACCTCTCCGCCTCTTCAAGGGACGAGGGAACCGTGCGGCAGAGTTTCCGTTAGAATTTATTTTCCTCCCCCTCTCCTGACAGCCCGTCAGTATTTTCGTTATCAGGAAATGATCGTATAGGCTGTAGACACGGAGCCGTTTGGCCCCCCAGAGCGTTGCGTTCGCAGATCTACCCACCTTGGGACCCGTTATCGTTATCGTTATCGTTATCGTTATCGTTATCGTTATCGTTATCGTTATCGTTATCTGCGTTTCCCTGTCGGCCTCGTGTGGCCGAACCGTCTATATGATGGAGAACTGTAGCGGATACGACCCGTATCGTCTCCGTGTGGCTGCAGCCACAGTCTCTTTTAGATTGAATGCTATCCTTGTCCAATCGATAGTCACAAATTAGGCAAAATGATTGCTTCGAAATCTTCAAAAGAATAAGAAATGCAGCCTTATCATTTTACAAAGCAACGTTGGGCACTTCCATTTCAAACAAGGGGATTTTAGCAGCATTGTGCTTTCTGTGATGAATATTGCAGCAAGGCTATCATCTGGCAGATCACTTGCTGCTAACTCACTGCCCTTGCTTCCCTCTCTTTTTATCTGGAGTTGTTGAAATATCCCTGATATTGTGCACATTCGCTTGCTGTAAGGTATACTAGCCGCTCTTTCTTCCTCATCTAACACACAGTTTGTAAAAGCTTGGCCCTTCAGATGAATGTAGCTCTATAATGTTCCAATGCCTCTTCCTACACACAGAAAGTCATCGTAGTGTACAACCAGCATGCAGACAGTGAAATGTACGACATGATTACATTGATACCCAAGCCCTCTAGGCTTAAACTACCCTTGCCCTTCTTGCTTACACCCTGACTCCATTACCTATTGATTTCCTCCCTTAGGAAATTATTTACAAGGTCAGAGAAACCTTTGAAGTCCTCAGCTGTCTCCACTGTTGCGTCGCCTCGATCTGCTTCCACTCACTCTACCCGCACTGTTTTCTTTCTTGTTACTCTATTCCTGCAGTCTGTCTCCTCACACTGTCAATCATGCATGCCCATCACGACCAAGCCAACCGGTGCCGAGCAAGTTATTCTGTTCTCTGGGGAATTGGGGAGATGTAAGGGAGGCGTGTGGGGAAGGCCAGAGAGGTGCATATTTGGGGAAGAGCAAAGAACACTATCTGCAACAGGAGCTATGCTGTCAGATTCAGCCTGACATGAATTTCAAAGCCACGGGGCAAGATGAAAACGCCGAAGAGAAGACAAACAGTAGTAGTCTGTTTTAACTCATCTTAATTCATCAAATGAGTTAAACCCAAAATATGCCATGATGCTACACTCTGGCCTAGATTTGTTCTAACTTTGAAAAGAAACATTTGCGCTTTTTTATTATTGTTCCTAGAGGAGAATGAAATAAATATTTATAGAGAGAGTACAGTACAATGCTCTTAATTAAAAGAGTGAAACAGAGAGGGAGAGGGTATATTTATCTTTGTGTTTTTGTGCCTTTGTTTGTGTGTCTCTCCAGCCTCGTTTTTCTGCTAGTGATAGTCTTACCTCAAAGAATCGAGCTCCACTGCTAACCTCATTCGTTTTCATTTGTGCTGCTCAGCTGAACACTGAAACTAAGTTTGGAAGCCACCCAACAGTCTGTCTGCTTTTCGTAAACAACTTCTACAAAGGCTCAGAGAAGAGAAGGAAAAGTTGGCACGAATGTATTGCAGTTCAAACCTAGAAACAGAGTGACGACAGAAGGGATGAAGATGGGATAAGGCAGTGTCGAGTAAATGCTGAAATGAATCAGCATTGCCTAAATATGAAGTCCCACACCTAGAATATAAACTGGAAACCTTCACAGGAGCATCAAAGGAAGCATAACAAGTTTGTTTCGTTCACCCTCAACTTGCTCTTTCTAATTAATGTTCCTCTTCTTGCTCTGAAAACTGCTTTGCTCAGGCTATAAAGGGCCACCCATCCCCAGAATACAGCAAAGCACATTAACTCTATCCCTGATTCTCTACCACCCACGAATCTCCTCTCATGAGCTTGCCCTTCATGTGACTTTTTAGCTCATTTGGAACACAAACACTGGGTCAGATGAATCCTGGTAATGAGGATTTAGATGAGGGATGGAGTGAATGAGGAATCTCAGAGCAATCACAGAGCTGTCCGTCTAGACAAGCCCGCCAACCAAATGGAAAAAGAGCAGTGAGCATGATCTGTCTATGCATAGAAGAAGAAATGTTTGCGAACACTGCAAATCAAAGGGATATAAAAATGAAAGAGATAGTATCATAATAATTGTATTTATTTTTATTTATAGCCAGATTCATTTTAATATACCCATCCACTGCAGCATGTTTCTGTATATTGTCTTTTATGTGTTGCTACAGCCCTAAGCTGTGTCTGTTTTTCTCCCTAGAATCAAATGAATGTGATATACTGCTTAGCTTTTGGTGCTTTCGGGCCTCTGCTTTCCAGGTAAACAAAGGTTTCCTAGACTATAGATACAGCAATCGGGCGATATCACAGCTTCCTCCCGCGTTCGCCGATTACATTTCATCCGGAGACATTCCCTCCAAACCCTCGTGGTTGTTATGCCATGCCCTCCCTCCTCGCTACACATAATCGCCGCAGCTTGAAAGAGCTCATAAATCAGCCTACCACAATATATTGTAGAGGGGAAAATGTGCGCCCCTGGCATTTGAGACGGCACAATGCCAACCTACAGTATGAGCGGGCTAATTCAACCCTTTGTATTCAGTGGAGTGAAAAAACAGAAGACTGGTTGGTGGTTTGCTTTGGGTTGTCTATCGTGTGCCCACTCACTCCTCCACTCTGTGTGTTTCAGTGAGTTTGAGGTTTGGTACATCCTTTTGTTGTTCTTTGATGTTTATAATGTTGTATCCTCACTGGCATCAACTTCTAGTATTATTTAACTAGTATCATTAATTAGTCTTACCTTTAATTGGTAGCTTTTCCTTTCCAATAAGTGTGATAACAACAGTAGTGGCTCCAACACAAAGCCACATTTACAGGTTAAAGCTCTGGTATTATTCAAACTACTGGAGAGGAATAATCCATGGGTACTTTCCCTTAGAGAAACAGAGATCTGATAGATGATACAGAATTAAACAGAAAAGTGGCTCATTATTATAAACTGTAAATAGAAATGGCTGTAGTGAAACATCTTTGGATTTTCTTTTTGGTGGCCATCAGGGTACACATTTAAACTTCACAGAGACTGAGCTAAAGCGCGGTGCTTTATTCTTTTATCTGATGTCTTTGTCTGCATCTACCTGCAATCTTGTTTTTCTCCTTCTGCAAAGGAAGATCAATGTGTTTGAGTTAAAACTGGGGGATAGTGCTAAACGGAGGACGCCAGGCATTGATGTTCTGCAGGCTCGTCACTCAGTCACAGTCAGGGCCGTCCGGGGAGATAAGACCCGTGGCCTGCTTAGGCTGATCAATGGCAGGATCCATAAAGACGCTCTCCCTCACGATTTGCCCTCGTTGTCCTTTTTTTAACTTGTTTTCTTCAGCTGTCAGTACTTTGTGCGTAGGATCATACTCTGTAATTGTCATACTTAAGATACGGGAACATAATAATTAACGAACAAAAAGAAAGAGCAATTAATTAGTCTCTACAACGAAACAGCTGTTTGTCTGTTGAACCTTGTAGAATTGTTAATTGTTGGATGGTTTGCTGTCTTAATTTTAGAACATGCAATTGGGCGTGCTATTATCATATAAAAAACATTAAGAAAGCTTAGCTGTCCTTATAAGTATGTTCCTCCCTTTCTCTGAGCACCACGGCCAAGGTTAATGCTGTCATAAAACACAGTGTAGTGCATTAAGAATTGCTCACATCACATCACACAATCACATATAATAATCCGTTCTTTTTCATTCCACCCCCTCCCACAACCCTCCCTCTGTCCTTAGCTAAGGCCAAGTCAAAGTGCGCCCCAACATTCTTCGCCTGCGCTAACGGTGTCCACTGCATCATCGGGCGCTTCCGCTGTAACGGCTTCAGTGACTGTCCTGACGGGAGTGACGAGGAGAACTGCAGTAAGTCTCACACAACAACCTATTCAAATAAATCTGTCTCATGCCAATGCTACCAGAATCTGCTCCATGATGAACTTCCCCCCACTCATAATATGCATCTGTAGTTATACGACTATTGCTGGCTTGAGTACTACAGTACTAATACAAACTTTACATAAGTACAGTTATTTCTTTAAAATCTGAGAAAAGCCATTTATGCACCACGTATTATAACTACCATAATAATGTTTTAGTCTGGCTCTGGCTCTGATGGAGCTTTTTCAACTCTAAAGAAAAAGAAAATCGGATTATTATAGTGTTATAATAAGGGTATTCACAATTTGGGTTTGGAGATTATACTTGTATAACAGAAATCCTGTATTATGAACAGGGGTGTGGAGTTTGAAAGATGTGTTAACCAGGCAGCAGTGATATGTCTAAAAAAAGATGCGACCGGATTAATTATTTGAGATTAAGTACCAACTGTTTTTGGAATTTGACCGACATTAAGTACCATGACAATATGGAAGAGCAATTAAACAGTTGGAGTACCCCTTTTAATATGCTTTATCATGAATTATGAGTAAACAACTGACTTAAACACATTTATTTTGTAAACGGCAGAGACAGTCAACAAATAACAGTATGCAAATTAAGATTAAGATCTCTGTTCATCTTTCACACTTTGTCTTTTCCTCTCTTCTTCCCCTTAGTTTAGAGAAACTAAACTGACACCCCAGTCTCAGTCTTTGGAGGTCTAACTATATTATAACTTTGTTTCCCAAGAGACACAACACAAACACAATCATGTACCTGTTGCCTTTTATACATTTGGTTATGGGGCAGGTGTGATCGGAGATTGTCACTACCATGTTACTTTTGCTTTACATTCATTTTCGTAATGCCAGATCAGTATTACAGCATTGCTTTCAAAAACTTGAAGCAGTTTTCTTTATGTCCCTCCTTACAGTGGAAAATCGAGGATGTCGTTCTATTTAAGAAAGCAATTTCTGTACTATTGCTGTCCCCCCTAGTCACTATCAAATTCTGCATTTTGAGCAGATGATAATAGTAGTGACATGAATAAATGCCGGATATAATTCAATTACCTTTTCAAAATAGTTTCAGTGCTTGTAACTCCTGACTCATCTGTAGCTTTGCCTTTAGTTGAAATAAAGATCAAGTGAACAAAAGAAGATCCAGGTGTAGTCTGTATTATCCAGCATGCAGTTTGTCCCTACATGACCCAATCTCTGCTTTCCAAGTGGGGAACGTGCATCAAGCCGATCACTCACCATTGTCAGAGGCAGTGTTCCTCGCCTGCAGGGCACCACGCTCACAAATCTAATCTAAGCATTTAAATGGAGCTTTGCTCCACGCTCTCAGCACATACTGCGTCACTACTGTGTCATTTTCTGGATCTTCACACAAGATAATTCTACCTCATTTTGATGAAGCTAAACTCAAAACCAGAACATGTATCAAAAATAAGTAATAGTGCTGGGAGAGATATTTTAATATTTCTTGTTTTCAGTTTGAGTTTTATACCCAGATCAAATGCTTTACTGCTTTCCCTCTAAACATTTTTTATGATGAATTGCTTCGCTTAAGATCCTGATTGAAATGAAATGCCCAATATTTCATCTTCAATTTAATTAAATGAAAGTGTTGAAAATGGTAAACAAAACAAGATCTAAAAACTGCACCACTACAGACGTCACACAGTGGCTTGTGTTTCACAGGCAACTTGAAACCTCTCACTGTAACCCTGTCTGAACTAACACTTGACCCTGACCTCTGCCCTGCCTCCACCACAGCGGGCTCTGAGTGCTCGGAGACTCGCTTCAAGTGTCGGAATGGCCACTGTGTGGACCGCAGCTTCTTGTGTAACGGCCAGGACAACTGTCAGGACAACAGCGATGAGGAGCCCTGCCTAACTACAGCGGGTGAGTCATCAGTCAAATGTATTGGATGAAAAGAACAAGGAAATAAAACATCTATTCTGGCTGTGGGAATCTGACACAGGGGCAGGGAGACGTTGAGGATGTTTAGCATGTTTGTCCCCATGTTTAGGAGCAGAGACTTGCCCCCTCATAAGTCTTTAACTCACATATGTCAAACTGTTTTTACTGAGGGTTTGTTTGGATAACTGACACCCTTCACCAACAGTGTAATACGCAGAAGAAAAAGCAACAGGTGATAGAATACCAAGAAACTAAATTATTAACTTATACAGTTAAAAGAGAAAGTATTGTACAATTAATCTCAATATTCACTCATTTTATTCTCTTCCTTCAATCCCTAAACAAAAACACAATCAAGAACAATTTAGAGATGAGGCTGGTTGTTAACCACTTTGACGTTCATCAATCTGGAGTTTGTTTATTTCAATTAGGCCATAATTGTTGGAAATATTGGCAGGGAACTTTGCAGCATATTTCAAGCTTGTAGATACAGTAAGTGGATAAATGCTGATAGATGATTTGGAAGATTGTGTCCCTCAATTTGTCACATCATCTGATATTTCTCAGAACATCACTTACGAGAGGTTTTATGCAGCTGATTCATAAAGCCACTGACTTATTCAACTTTATGCCAAAGAAGACATGCGCTGCTGTGTACATTTCCTACGTTCTTAACAAACAAAAATAAGCAAAAGCACTTGTTGTAATACCTAATGATATTGTTGACATTGTAGTCACATCCCTGACATTGAGTATGATGATTTCTGGTTTAGAGTGTCTTATTCGCTGGCAGGTACCACTTTCATCTGGCATGCCATTCTTATTCCACTGGCAGCTCTTCTCCTCACAGACAGCTGCTGCCACGATGGCACAGCAGTCGACTTCTGTCAACACTTCAGCTGATCTTCCAGTGGCAATCCAACATGGATTCTGCAAGCAGTCCAACCCTGATGTTAAAATAATTCCTGTGTATCCCCATCATATGTCTAGGTGATGCTGTCATATTGATTTATTCAGTCAGAATAAAACAAAAAGTCCTTCAGTATCAGTAGCCCAAAAGACAGTTTTGTTATTACCAGACCTTATTTCCCTGAAAGAATTTTTTTCTGATAAAGAGGGAAGGAGCTATGCAGCAGTAAGACATTACACTTGAGAATATGAACACTGTAAATCATGTTGACAATTTTAAACACCATTCATTCTCTAAAATAGAAATCACAGTTCATTTATTTCCCGGCTGTGAAAAATGGCTCTGATCCGACACTATTGACAAACTGCAGAATGGGTAATCATGCAAGAGATCATTTTCTTGCTCGTTGTAATTGAGCAACCTGATGTATTACCTCACAGTTGATTAACTAATTTTTATCAATCTATTTTGTTTTAAACTCCCTAATTAGTGAAGCTGATTAAGCATTTATTTATTTATTTGCACTTGTATGTGTTTGCAAGATAGACAGAGAGTCTATCCATCATCACAAGCCTGTCGTTTCTCAAACTCCTGACTCAATGCAGAGCAACAGAACGCTGAAAAGACCTGAAGAGTGATGCAGAAATATTGATCTGTGTTCACTGCACTCCATGTTATTGTTGAAAAGTGAACAACTCTGGTGCACTCTTCACAACAAATACTGTTCGAACTGCTCACTACGAAAAACCTAGTATGAACAAATCATGTTTGTCCGGGTTAAACAATTAGGAATCAAGGTTAGACATGACATTCAGTAATATAATTACTCAGAAGATACTGTATATGTTGTCAGAAGGTTTAAGTCTCGGTGAAGATCTAAGGGGTGCTTTGTGATCCATACCTTCACAAGTCCTGACTTCAATTATTAGACTCCATTCCCCACAGAAAGAAAGTGTTCTGCTAAGGTTGACTGAGAGGATCAGTCTGCCACCATCTCTAAAACATTTTCATCTATCTAATCTTTTTCTTATCATATAAATGCTGAATGTTTCAATTCAGCTACCACAGAAATGTACCAGTTCCAGAGTGTTGTTTTATTCCCAAAGACTCCTTGTCAGCACTGATTTAATAGTATGTTCTGTATGCATAGAGCACAAATGACCCAAATGTTTCCTGCTTATTTGACTTGTGTAGCGCTGCATAAAGAACAAGAAGTTATGAGCTCCGAGTTGTTCTGACCTTCAGAACCCAGCAAGGAAGATCAGCTCAGTTATTATTTCTCTTTCGTTTTTTCATCTATTTATTTTTTTATCATCAGCCACTGCGATTTGGAGGGAGTGAAGGCTTCACTGCTGTTTTACTCTATGCGTTTATTGCCTGTATTAACTCGCACACACACACACACACACACACACCGTATACTCACCTTACATTCTGCGCTGACTTTGCCTCTCTATAATAAGCACAGACCTGCAGGTGACAGATAAGGCATACAATATCCGCTCTAAGCCACCTGAGCACAGCATCTCCTTCCTCACTTCTCCTCTGTTCAGCTCCTTCCTCTTTACCCATAATTACTTGCTTCAGTGTCTCCACATGTGTTTCCTTCATTTGAATAGTCTAGTGAGAGATCAGCATGCAGCCTGTCAGCGGACTCATCATCACGGCATATATAGAGTAGAGTTTGGTTATCCTTCCTCAGAGGTGGCAGATCATGAGATCTACAGAAGTAGCACTATCCTCTTAGCTTTCTACGCCTCTGGTGTTTTTATTCCTCATCAGAGTGATTTCAAACTATTTAGCACAGTTAGACACAAACACCAGCTTAGAGTTGCTTTTACTGTGCATCTGTTGATTTGATGGGTAATTGATTTTTGAAATAGCAGCAAAGTGGCAAACAGTGCAATGTAACAATCTTCCAGAAATGCATTGGTGCAATCATCGCACTGCGAGATAGAAGGGGTGGGATTGGGGAGCCTGTAACGGATAACAGAGATAAAGAAATGGAAAGCTCACCACATAAACATAATATAGTGAAGCAGAAAGGGAGTTGAGAGGAGCAATGAATAGCAATGGGCAGAAAGATGGAAGCAACCAACGAGAGACAGGTGATTTGGTAAAGAAAGACGGGGATTTTGATAGAACTGAATGCGGGGTACCGATAAGCCGGAGAGGATGAGGGGAGCATCCGTCTCAAGTTGAGCCCCGAGGCCGAGCAGCGTTACTCTGGAAACAGAAATGACAAGAAAGCTAGTTTTGCAAAATCCGAGCTTCTCATTGCTCTCCCCGGTCTGCCGGTCCGCACATAGCAGGGGAAAGGGAAAGCAAAGATGGATGCATGTTCGCCCCTCCAATGACTTTTGTTGAAACACCGCCGTGGGGCTCACAGGACTTGGTCACATGCTGGGGGAGAGCGCCACTCTGCATATCCAAGAAACACACCCGCACAGATTCACTCAAAGAGAGTCACAGTACATCTGACAGTGATTGTTCTGCATATTTAATTGTCAAAAGAAGAACTCTGCAACCTCCACAAGAAACTTCCTGAAAGTCACGTCACTGACAAGTTTAAACACTCAGAAGTGATGAGCTCAGACGTTTATGCTTCTTCTTTTTTTTTTAAAGTGACTAAGAATCCCCTTAGAGTTGTTTAAGGAAAGCAATTTATTTTAAATGCACACATCAGCGTCTCTCATTACGCATTCATTAACACAAGTAGACAAAGGAGATCAGATGGGGGGGGGGGGTGGCTGTGGAAGGATGTGATTCATTCATCTCCTCTATCTCAAAGAAGTTTCATCTTGGCGTTTTTTTCTTAACCGGAGTTGAGAAAGTAAAGCTAGCAGAGTGGGGGGGGGAACGGTAGGAACAGCGAGCTAGAGGATGTTTTGAGGATGTCAAAAGCTTCCAGAAGCTTTGTGCATTTTGTAAGATAAGGTATGCTTTGTGTGTTCACAGGGATGAAATGCATTTGTTTTGGTCGTGTTTGTGCATTCTTTCTTTTAGTGGACAACACAAACACATTTCAAATGTTGTTGTGTTCCTGTACATAAAACAATGTAAAGCTTTGACGTTAAAGCTTTCCTATCATGCAGTTTCATGAGATGCTGTAGCTTTTAGCCCTCACATGAGGAAGATGTATATGCTTTCCCTGCTGCATGTTTAATAGACTATTTAATTTGATGTAATATTTGGACAAATAAAAAGCAAAACAAATCCTCAAACCCCTAAGGACTGCACACTTTGAAATCATCAAAACATTCATTAGGTATTCTTCACACAACAGGGGGCCGCATCAGTTCTGCAGACCACACTGGCTCAGATATGTTTATATTCTTTTGTCGGCTGGATGAATCTATTTACAATGGATTTAAATTACAATGCATTGTAAACTAAATTATGTATAGTCTGCCTGCTCAAGGTTTTCTTATATCACTCTTACAATGACAGAATCACACCCAAGGGTAGGCCTTTGTTTACACACTGCCTCAATGTGTACTGTATATGATGCAGATTCTGTAATGCCAAGACTCCTGTGGAGACAGGGAGAAAGTCTATCTGCAAAGTAAAGGATGCTAGTACACACTATCCTGCATGGTCCAGAAAGTAAAATTGCCAAAACACATTTTGTTCCATTCATTTTTGTATTTTTACCAGTGACCCTCTCAGTGTCATCATTAGCTACACGTCCCCAGAGAAGTGTCAGTCAGAGTGAGATGTTGGGCAGCAAGCTGACAATTAACATTAGTCTGCTACATGAGTTTATTGGCAGTCAACATCACCCTTGACACAGATTGGTTTGATGAAAAATAGGCCAAGCATTAAACACAAGCTAAGATCTTTAAAATGAAGTGTCAGTAACATTTCTTTTGGGAGAGGGGACCATGACTGTGTGTAATTAAACACTCCATTTTCTTTTTGATAAGCATGTCAGCGAGAATCAATTGTTTCACAGTGATTGTCAAGGGAATTTGGCACAATGTCTGTCCAGCAATAACATGATTATGAAGTTGTATTTCACCCACATATCCACTCACCCTCTATTCCAACCGACAGTAGAATAAACAGTTTT